TGTCTCCATTCAACCTGTTCTACTTCTGACCATGTTCTTTACATCGTGTTTTCAACAGTTGGTGAACAGCATATATTCAATGCACATATAGAAATACATCTTTTAATGGAAATATTTTTTCTCAGCACAGTTAAAAGAGATACTTAATTATATCCATGTTTCCTAAAGCAAAAGCATATAGACACTGTGGGTGGTTCTTAAAACCCTTCCCTCCCTCTTCTTGTGGTGGTCCCCAAGTATCTGGCAGCAGGAACAGCTCACATATATGGCTGGAAATGCTGGGTCTGAAAATAATATATTCTCAGTGTTCCCACGACACAAAGCTCAGTTACGGATGTCACCATAGACAAGCAATCACCACAATTACCATGAAGCTTCCAGTTGAATTAAAAGTCATTAGAAAAGAGATAACCATAGAGGAAAAAGGAAAAAAAAAAAAGATTAACAGATGGAGAAAAAAAAGAAAGAGAAGCTCATATTGATTGTGATGCACTCACAAAAAGATGCAGTTCATGTCACTGATGCATTAATTCACTAAAGAAGCAGCGTAAAAAACAGTCTGGGAAAAATATCTAAATTAGTTTTTGGAAACAAGAGTGAAAAAGGTTGAAAACAACTTGCTTTACCAGTATCTATTATGTCTTTAAGTATATCTTTGATGAGATACTACTTTTTTCCTTTTGTTCTAAAAATTAAGTAGACTTAACCTTTGATAACTCTGAATAAAGTCTGAAAATGCAGTTGTGAAAAAGTTTGCCATAATTTTCTCATATACCTTTGATAATCTATTCTATTTTGTTACAACATAATTTTAATGTCTTGACCAAAATAAATATAAATTGTAGATTAAGATAAAACATGTAAGTTTACAAGAACAAGAACTAGAAGATACCAAAAAAAGGTCCTAAGAAGACAATTTTTAATATAATGGAATTCAAACAGTCTTGATCACAAGCCATTTTTCCTTCAGAAATGGTTTCATCAAGACTTTCTTGTGGAAAGAGACTGTATTATCATCATTATATAGATCACATATTGAAGTCAGAGAGACACTATATCCAGAAGTATCCATTTTTTGGAGGGTGGGAGAGGAGTAATGAGAGGCCTAGGACTTGAATTCAGAGCCTGCCTGGTGTTTGCACTCAAAGCTTCAGAGCTCTCATTGATTCCAAGTTCAAGCAAGCTGTTTAGCAGAACACTCATGTCCATCACTGCATTTATCTGGTGCTCTTCTCTATAACACGGGTGGTTTTTTAACACTCAGCTTGCCTTGTATCACACATGAATGAACACCCCAGGGGAGAAAGAACTGAATTCAACTCCCAAAGGCAGTACCCAGCTGCCTAAATTATACTTTCCTAAAGTACATTAATTCCCCATCCATCATTACAACAGTCGGGACAATGATTTTTCACTGCACAGCCCTGACACTAAAACATGCCCAGCCTGTGCAGGAAGACAAAAGTATCGCAGAAAACGAAGGGAGAAGAGAGGTGGAGAGAGATTATAAACTGTAGAATGATCAGTGTGTCTGTGTAAAAAATTAAGATTATACAGGCAGTCTACAACTGACACCCTTCTAAATTTCAAGCATTCAACTTCAAACGGATACAACTACTTTAGAAGAAAAAAACAATTATGCATAGTTTCCCAGGTTTCCAAAAAATGTTTGTAAATTAAATTCTCATATGCCCATAAAATGGGTAAAACCACTCAGCTCTACAATCTCCTCTACATTTTGAACTGATGGTCCATCTATTGACAGAGGAAGACTGTTAAATTCTCAATGAACCAAAATCAGCAAGAAAATGAGTGGACTGGGTTTCATGGAGACTTCAGCAGCACAGATGTGCTGAGTTTCTGTAGTCTCAGGATTCTGGTCCTCTTGCTGGAAGAGGGAGAAGTACGTCCTCGTTGGGCTATTAACATTTCTACGGTCAAAACTCAAAAGTGGCACTATGCAGTCTGGTGAGTTAGTGGTTTTTGTTTATTTTTAATAGCTCAAAGCTGTATCAGAGCATGAACACCTAATATGGTGCGTATTACATTTGAATAATGAATGAGTGGATTAAGCCAAGCAAGACAATAATCAAAGTTCATTTATTGGCCAAGTTGAATCATCACTGAACAGAGTATGATGAAGAAGTCAAGCCTAAACCAGTGCTGTCTTTCGCACCTCTGAAGTGCACTGACCTTACCTGTGTGTGTTCCTCAGCAGTTAGAAATGCTGCTGTCATGGGCACCCATTGTTTCAGGTAATTTTCCGTAAGTCTGATCCTTTCTCTATCATACCTCCATTTTGTTCTAGTTCTTCTACTTCCTGACCTATCTCCTAGGTTTTTGGTGGGTTTTTTTGTTGTTTGTTTTGGCAGTTGGTGGTTTTTGTGGGTTGTTCTTTTCTGTGTGTGGTTTGTTTGTTTTTTTCTCCTCTCTCTCCATGTTGCCATGCTTAATTTTCTACTTTTTATTCCTGTCTGGTGTGCAGTCTACTTGTACAGCAAACCTTGAACAACTTTTTCCCAGTCTCTTATAAGACTATCTCCAACCCCATCTGCATCTTCTCATTCTCACATTGCAAAGTACCTTTCACTTCAACTTTTGATTCAGTTTAATTCTCCAAACAGGTCTCCAGACCACCCAAACCACTTCACCAGCAGGACTTCCACTCCCATTCTTTCATGGATGCTTTGCACAGTTTCAGTGTATGATCCAGATGCAATATGCTTCTTTTTCTCCCTCATCCTTTTATCATCTCCTATCCCCCTTACTCTGTCCAGGTGTTCACAGTTATTATGTCAGTTTTTGGCTTTTGCCCCAATCTCTTTCATCCTGCCATACTGTTTATGGTCGCTCTTCCCATCACATTTAATGACTCCCAGATCTGCCATTTTCCTCCAAATTACTTGTTCAACCAGTCTGCCTCCCCCTCCATGGGCTCTACATATCAGTCTATCCCTGTATCTCCTCCAGAGTTCACATTATTTTCTGCATTTAGCTCAGACAGCTTTCCCTGCTACCCACCAGAAGAGGAGAGCACTCAGAATATAACAGGAACAACTGAACAACACATCAATACAAAGCTGCTTTAACACAGAAAATTCTCCTGAATTCTAGTTAGCTCACACCCATGTGAGGGATCATATTTATTCAACTCAGTTTGCAAGTTTCTCAGTAGAATCTTAAGGATGAAAACTAGGCCAAATTTGAGCAGATTGATACAGGAAGAGACAAGTATATTCCAATACTAGGAAACCCTTCTGACAAATTTCAAATCGCTCCCCTTAAGTGTGAGATAGTACCTGCTTTAGTTTCTTTTCTTCAGAGTTCCATTTTCGCCCCCATTGAGTAGAGTACTGGGGGGGTTTTTTAGCCTTCAACCAAAATGAAGCAAGCAATTAGCATAGCTCATTTCTGTTCTGCTATTAAAGGCTGGTGTGTCTGAAAAGAAGTCCTACTAATGGAAAGCATCAAGTCACTGGTACTCCGATAAAATTACATTACATTCACGCTTTTGATAAAGACAGTAGCTAGCGCAGTCCCCATCTGCAGCTTTAGCAAACCCAGATAAAAAAACATCCATTATATCCTGGGATAACTTTTGCATAAATGCTCTTCAAGTTTCTTTAATTTGTGCTCTTGAGTGCCTTCCAAGTCAAAATGTATCATCCTTCTTAACCTGTTTCAAAAATTAACATAATACCTTTTCACTAGTGTCTGTAGGATCCTCACACTTAAGTACTTAAAGATGGTTAAACTTGCTTGTGCTAACATTCAAGTATCTATTTGTATCTTGCTTTATCTTTTGGACAGTTAGTTGAAAACATTACCTAAAATTCTGCTCTAAAATTTATAGTAGCTTTAGGAAAAATGAACACATGGCTAGCAACAGTCTGTATTCTTCTAACTTTTTGTTATTTTAGAAAATTGTTTCCATGTGTTAGCAAGTATTAAACAGGGCTAAAAAAATACTTTGATATTTCAGTTGATTTCTAAGATCACCATAAAGAAATCCATGACAACTGTTTGGTTTTGAATTATACAGCTTCTGTGTACAACTGCATCTGAGAGATTTTTACACCGATTTCACACTCAGTGCTTTACTGTCACAAGGCGCTGATACTACACCAGTAAATTCTGTGCCAAGATCTTTTCTAGAATATCAGACATTACTCAAAACAAATTGCTATGTACTGACTGAAAAAAAGTTACCCATTTACAAGTACTGGTAAGACAACAGCAAGAACAAGATGAAAAACATTTCACATTAAATAAATTTGATCTTAACTTGCAGAATACACAAATTTTACATTTATCCCACCTAAAAAGATGTCTGAGTTTCAATAGTTATAATCTTTGAGGCTAAAATAACATCCCAAAATACTTGTGTTTCTGAATAAGTGCTGATCTACAAATGCTATTGTATAAAATGACATAATGCTACATGAACTAATTGGTATCTTGTCACACAATACTACTCAGTAACAATACATAAACTATTACATACTTATAACCATCACTTTCTTTTCTGGTACTATTTTAGAGGCTGGTCTTCAACAGGGAAACAAATATTCTGAAAACATCTTCAAAGCTTACAAAATTTGGAGTTTTACACATGAAAAGTTTATGCAATATAAAAATGAAAGGTAACTTAGAACTTCTGTTCACATTGCTTTGAGAATATTTTTTTAAAAGGCAGAAAATAACATGTGAATGTTTTAATTAAGAACAGTGTGAAGGCAACGGAGTACATGAATTTTAAAGTAAAACTTCCAGAGATTAATTTTTCAGAAGTGCCTAAGGACTCAATCTTATCCTCTCCACACACTGCAGGTGATGTATACTGGACATACTAAAGGCCCAGGAAGCACTGAAATCTGAAACTCTGGTACTGAGACATAGTTCTACCTCCAAAATTCCCATATTTAAAACAAAAAACAACAATCAAACAATAAATCAACAGAAAAAAATATCTTATTGGGCAAAAGTTATTTCTACAGTACCTTCAGGGTCGATAGCACTAGGACACACATCTTTTAGCAGATCTCCCAGAGTATGCAACTGTCCTCCTGAATCAACTGGTCGAAATAACTTCTGTATAAAAGGTCTCTCTGTCGTTGCCTGTTTTAATAACAAAATTAGTAAAAAACAACAATTTTAGAACCACAAAAATATGTAGTATTACTATTTGAGACAGGCAGATGATAGGACAGAACAAGAGATTGCAGCAGAAGAAACTTTTGGCATTTCCATTTCTTTTTTTTCCTTCCCCTGCATTTTATTCGTATCATGAAATACAGTGGAGATTTTGTTTGTTAACAGTTGAAGTTGATGCTCCAGAAAAAGTATGAAGATAATTTCTAAACAGTGTCATGGATATAAAAGTGTTAAATACTTTAAAAAAGAAATTAGCATTTTTAAAAAAACCTTCTGTTATGGGAATAAGAGCTGCTTGAACAAAACATTTAAATATATTCTTAAGTAAAACAAGCAGTGAGTACAAACTTAGGCATTAAACATATGCCTGTACATTTTGCCAAGTCAAAACAGTACTGTAACAAATATCCAATACCTTCTGCAATAGTCTATCTTCCTCCTTTTAGAAACACATTAAGCACTTTCAATGGGAAACAATTACCCCTATAGCTCAAGCCAGGTGAATTTTTTTCCAGTAGCTTTTACGTTGAAAAATTCCAACTATTTCAGCTGCAAGAAACAATTAAAAAAAAAAAAGAAAGAAGTGTTGCGCTTTGACAGACAACCTAGAGTCTTCTGCCTATTTATGGAAGATGTGCACAGGAATTCAGGATGTTTTCAACAATGGGTCCTGTTAGATCTTGCACATCTTCATAACTTCTTCTGGAGTAAAAAAAGCAGACTGACTGGCAATAAACTGCCATCACTGTCCGCAACATAAGCAATAAAATGCTCAATGTTGCAGAAGCAGCAAAGTCGCTTATGGGATCTACAGATGCACGTACACAGAATCACAGAATGGTAAGGGTTAGAAGGGACCTCTGGAGATCATTCAGCCCAACCCCCCTGCCAGAGCAGGATCACCTACAGAAGAAAGTGATCACATAGGAAGACATCCAGGAGAGTTTTAAATGTCTTCAGAGAAGGAGACTCCACAACCTCTCTGGGCAGCTTGGTCCAGTGCTCTGTCACTCACAGGAAAGAAGTTCTTCCTTATGTTTAGGTTGAACCTCCTATGCTCCAGTTTGTGACCACTGCCCCTTGTCCTGTCACTGGGTGCAACCAAGAAGAGTCTCTTATTTAAGACCTGTGGTTATATTAAGGTTACTTTTGTAGTATCTGTATAAGCAGTCCCAAAGTCAGCAAGCATCTGACACTGAAAAGACAGGAAACGTTTTTATTCCTGACAGCCTGACCTCTCCTCCCAAACTGGACACTCGAGCCAGAAAACAAAAGTTAAAAACCTCATATTCAACCAACCCCAAAATTTTAATCAAGCTTTAAATTGTTGCGGACAGATTTCTGCTAGCAGCTAACTCCAGAAAGCAGCTGATATGGCCTGTACTATGGCTGACTGAGCTCCAGTAAATTACACTTTCATCACATACTATATTAATTGGAAAAAGCAATTCAAGACACTGCCCCTTCCAAATTTAGTTTCCTACTGCTCAGAAGGTGGTTCCTGTCTTACTACAGTAAATAAAAAAATAGAAACAAAACCACACAACTCATCAAGAAGTATTTTATCTCCCAGTGGAGGTTGGGGAAAAAAAACCCAAAACAACAAAAAACTAAGTATAGTAAAAAATTTGAAAGTTAAAAATTAATTTTGAAAGGAAGTTACGATGCAGCCTCTGACACCTACCTACATGAAAAGGCACAAGCAGTAGATTAACTGTGACAACTAAATCGTCATTCACCTGTCCGACACAGCATGGGAAGGAGTCTTCTTCTGAGAGTGGTACACTACCTCCAAGTAACTCCAGGGCAGCACAGTGCAGAACTGTTGACACACAGCTACTTGTTACTTCTTGCCAACAGCCTCCAAAGTTGGGAAAATAGTCTTTTCCCAGGTTTTTCTTATGAAGACTGAGCAGAAGGAGCTGACTAACTGCTGTAGTCAATTCTCTATGTCCTCAGGGTAGCAGAATGTGGATACAAACAGCACTAATGAAATGTCTGAACATCTGAAAAATGATGTGAGGCACGCAGCCAGCAGGAGCCACCTCAGACAGATTCACACTTGAGAAGTGAACTCTGGCACGTTATACTGAAGAAATGCATCTCCAAAATACTGAAAAAAACTCAAAACAAACAAAAAAACCCACAAAAAAAGAAAAAAACACCCCTAAAACATTGCTATAGCCAAACTAATTTTCTATCTAGTTTATTTCTTAAAAATAATGAATTATTCACAGAATAATTAATCACAGCTCCAAAGTGCCTACCATCTGAAGCAACACAAGTGGAAATAAACACCAGAAGAGAGATGCAGGCAAGGGTGGTTATCATCAATAGACTTTTAATATGAGATTTTCCTGAGTGCATACTGCAGTTTCTTATTATTTATTAATAAATTACAATAGTTTTCTTAGTTATCATAATTTAATGCCAAGAGGGAAAAGTAAAATATTTATTTTCTAAAATTTACCACATAGTTGCTGCCTACTGCAAAGCAATATCCTCAGCTACTATCATGAAACAATATAGAAAATGAATTCAGTTTTATACATTAAGTGTTGAGCAATACAGATGTGGTAATGTAAATAAAAATAGCTGTTCTCCATCAATGTTAAAATGATAAAAGTAACTGCACATTGTTTATACAAAGATTGTGGTTCACAAACATAATCCTGCCTGTAGGCAGAGTATTACCCCAACATGCTTACGCTTTTTCCCTCCCATGCAGCAGATGCATTATTAAAAGAGTTAAAAGAAAAGTCCCATCCTACAATCTAGAATGTTTATAGGCTAACTTTTCAAAGTATCTTAGTCATATAGGAGCATAAATAATTTTGGAAAAATCATACCATCACCCCTTTTTAAGTGTGGAGCTAGTAATATAAGCCAAACTTTTACTGCAGCTTTCTTTCATGTGTTGTTGCAGTAAATACTAGAGTAGAAGAGCCAACATGAGTAACTGCTTACATAATATCGTGTTTTGTACTATATTTGCTTAATCAGCCATGCAAAACAGTACTATTTGTAAACTAACCCACAAAGACACCACTGCATACCTTAACTGACAATTATTTTAAATCTATATTAGGCATAAAGCAAGTATTTGTATGGTATCCACCATTTTTTCCTACTAAGATTATCTTAGCTTCAACAGATTATAGCGCTTTTAAAATTATTTTATTTTATAGTCTAGCCCCAAAGTAGCTGTGAGCTGTTCAAAAGATGCTGAGATTTTTCACACTGAAATGACCTATTCAGGTATACTGGCATTGAGAAGAGTTACAGGTCAGGGAAAGTTTCAAGAGGCCCTTTAAGACAGCATAAAGCCTCACAGGATCAGAGACAAGCTCTATAGTTACCTATTGTGCTAGCGACTATAACTCTTTCTTCCCTATCATCCTGCCACAAAAGAGAGTAGTCAGCTTGCCTGGTCCTTTTCGGAATCAACAGAACATCAAACACTGCATATGAAATCCACAATTTAATTAGTCAGATATTTTATACAGGATGCATCTTAAAATGAAAAACATAACTCGTGAACAGCTTGGTTTTAATCTGGAAAAATCAGAGCTACCAGTATTTCCAGCTAAAGGAAGGGATTTGAATTTTCTGCCTAAATACTCTACTGCTACTTTAACAGCATTCACACAAATAAAAGATACCACATATATTGAACCCACAAAGTAAAAAAAGAATTCCTTACAATTCCCACATGTGCATAAGCTGGCAGTTTAAAACTGCAAAACTTGAGATTTCCCTACGTATTTCATCATATTTTCAGTAATTTGTCAAATTCATAGTCCACACTGTTTTATAATGAACCATTTACAGTAAAAAACTACCATAATTCAAATTTATAATTTTGTTTAAACTTAAACTCAATTAAGAAGCCTGAAAAGAAATGAGTTTGCATAATGATCAAAGTTATTTTATATAAAAATGAAAGTACAAGAAAATTAACTACTCCCTGAAAATAAAACTACATACATTTTATTATTCACTGAAGAGTACATTTTCCATATATTTTCTACGATGTCTGTCTGAAAGTAAGAAACTGTAAAGCCCCATCTGAAGTACTGCTCTTTCACTAGTGCTGAAATGCACCAGGTGTGTCTCTTTTTCTGTAACCTCCTTTTCGCTCTGTATTACAACAGAATCACCAAGTGCTTCACTGTGGAAAAGACATGACCAATGTCTCATTTTGGTTTTGTTTGTTTGTATGGGGGGTTTTTGGGGGTGGTTTCTGGGGTTTTGTTTTGGTTTGTTTTAAAAAGACTCCACTCACTGGAAACTAGACAGGCAGATTATGAGACTGAAAAATTAAATGGAAGAGGCAGCCAAGACTCAAAGTCACCAATAAAGTCAGGAAAGAACTTGTATCGGAACGGGAAAGAACTATTTCTGGGTGTGTGAAAAAAGGTTCTAAGGACCTAGCATAAGGTCCTGATCTTGCCCTACCTCTTGTCTGAATGTTTACAATTTTAATAATGTTATCTACGGTTGCTTCAACTGCTGCACATTTTGACTTCCATTCAGAAATTACTCATATATTAAGACATGTTACCTGGCTCTTCAATTCATATAATATATCCCAATACCTGCAGAATAAGGCCAGTAGAAACATTTGACTGTCTTCTGGAAAAAAAATAAATCACCAATGAATGAAAAATACCACGTCAGACAGAGGTTTCACATACACAAGCAGCTAACGTGAGATGGCCAAAACAAGCCAGCAAAGCTGTCTACGCAACAAATAGCATTAGTGATGTAGGAGGAAGAAAAACATTTGAACAGCAAGACTGCCATCATCTAGAAAACAAACAGGTGACTATACAGTAAAAAAAAAAAAAATTTAAGAGCAGATGTAGTCCAATTCACATTTGTAATTCTACATTACTGGGATGCCTGCAGGCTGCGTAAGCTAGTGATCACAGCAGAATGCTTTATGAGCAAAACTGCGTGTA